CATTAGCTAGAGTTGTTAATCCCTATAGGGCAGTGGTTCTCAACCTTGGCTGCACATTAGAATCCCAGTGCTCGGAATCTTTTTTAAATCCTGATTTCTGGGCCTCATCCTCCAGAAATTCTGTTTCGTTGTTATGGGGTGGGGCTACAACATTAGTAACAAAGAAACAGAATTTCCGGAGAATGAGGCCCAGAAATCAGGATTTAAAAAAGATTCCCAGGTGATTCTAATGTGCAGTCAAGGTTGAGAACCACTGCTGTAGGGCCTTACTGATGGTTCTGTCTGGCTGTGTTGTCAGGGACAAATGTACAACATACACAAACTCCTCCTTTTTCTTCCAGAATCCTATCCAAGGCCAACGTATTCTCCCATGCCATCCTGCTGGTGGCAGCTAATTGTTCAACTATCCCTTTAACTCATCTTGAGTATAGTTAACAAGACTTTGCTGGTCATCTATAATAACTAATAACTAGTACTATGCTAATTAGACCAGATGACTTTCTGGACGAGGCCAGGGCTGTGAGGGAAGCCCGGGTCCCGGGTGCCAGACGGAAGGCCGGTGCTGGCAACCGGGGGGAGGAAAGCCTACTTTTTCACGAATTTCGTGCATTGGGCCTCTAGTAGTAAGTATAATTAACCCATCCACATTTTACAGTGGACCACCAAACAATACTTATTCTCCATAGGAGGCAAACTCAGATGAATAATTTTTACCATTTGACCCAGCAAACTCAAAGTTTCAAGTTACATGCCTCCGGGACCTGAGGGTCAACCTTGGATTCTCATTCAAGAACTGCCCACCATCATGGAAGCATTAACCTTGTTGCCCAAACAATGGAGTCCCACCTTAGTCCCCATTTCTTACTTCCCCACGCCTGTAATCCCCACTTCCCCATGACTAACCGAGTTCCCTAAAATATAGCAAGCAAGCAAAGTAACTCACTAACCAAAATTACATTACACATACACAGACAGAAACCACACTAGCTATGAGTTTCTGGTGGCTGACACCCTAAGAGGGAGAGCAGGAAGAGTCCCCAAGATTAAGAATTCTTGGCAGCTGCTGAGACATTCCTGCCATCTCTGCCACATGTTCATCCTCGCCACAGTAGCTGGGCTCCCCCAAAGCAGGACGTGCCCGATCTTTAAACAAATTAAACCAAACAACAAAGAGACACAAAACATCAACAGAAACACTTATACAGGCATGCATGACCAACAGACACCACAGAATGCCCTGTATAAAAAAACCACTGAAGCAGAGCAATATCTCCTGTCCCTGGTTTGGGTACTGCCCTTCCCCAGAACCTCAGCATTCTTTCAGTTGACTGTTTGGGGAATATATTCTATTCCCTAGACCTAGAATTTTTGGTTCCTATTCTCGGAAAGTCCTTTATGACTATGTGCTCAACCTCCCATATTGGAGATTTCTTGCATTCCCTGAGATTCACTTCGTCCCTCTCTGGCTGCTTCCCTTGTGGGAGAACAGAACCTGCAGATCAGAACTCCGCATTTGCTTCATGTCCAAGACACATCACAGTCACATATACTCAACTTCTGAGGATACTCAGCCACCAAAGTAGTACTCAGTCCAATTCCCCACCGTGGCTCATGCATGGGCCTACCTGATTGCCGCAGTTCTTGCTTGGGCCCTTCTCATGTTGCTGGCTGACTCTCGATCCGAGCTCGTAGTGGCCCAGGGGTAATGGCTGTCCCTCCTCACCAAAGCTGCCGCAACTTGGCAGTGGGGCGCACCTCCTCAGGAGAGGGGTCCAATGCCCCCCTGTTGTGACCAACGGAATCCTGCATGAGCCCCCAAAATCAGGGGCCCTGGTAGAACTGAAAGGACACTGGGAGCCAGGCAGCAAGGCAGATGTCCCTCCTGCATGATTGGTGCATGCACAGGCGGGAGCATGCAGGCTAGGCGCCTCCGCTCGGGCTTTTGTGCCTGATGCACATGACCTGCCCCTCACTCTTGATTGGAGCTCAGGCTCCCCGTCTTGTGCGATTGGCTAATTTAAAGGGAGGGGTTGACCTTTGCCGTTTCACAATGGTGGCCCCCAGGGAGCTGCCTGTCACACGAGTCTGCCTACACTCCCTTCTTGGACAGAAAAGATTGTTTATTCTCATAATGGGACAGTGAGGAAGTTTGGGGTTCATCCATGTTGTCTCGTGTCAGTACAGTCAAAACTCGTTTGTCGCCCTGACCAGTTTGGCTCAGAGGCTAGAGCGTCGGCCTGTGGACTGAAGGGTCCCAGGTTCGATTCCGGTCAAGGGCATGTATGTACCTTGGTTGCGGGCACATCCCCAGTAGGGGGTGTGCAGGAGGCAGCTGATGGATGTTTCTCTCTCATCCATGTTTCTAACTCTCTATCCCTCTCCCTTCCTCTCTGTAAAAAAAAAATCAATAAAATATATTTAAAAACTCGTTTGTCGATCATTTCCCATCTCGAATAATTTGTTCTCGACCAAGTTGTTCGTAGATAAAATGTCTCCAGTTGTTGAACCAAACTTCTGTTTTCTACCTGACCTCAGCGTGACAAAAAGCATCTCAGGCAACCAACAGGAGAGAATGCTTTTGTTTTCGGGAGATCAACCATGAACACAACTTTAAATCATAAGGAGGCCGTCAAGATGCTGGTGTTCCTAAGGGTGTGAAAGAAACCATGACCACAGGCCGCCGAAGGGGTAGGAACGCTGCTGTTGACGTGGATAAAGGAAAAGCAGCCGAAAAGCGTTAGCCAGGGACAGCCTTGCAGAGACGTGATGCATAAACAAGCAAGGGTGCTGCATCTGACGGAGAGAGAGCCTGGCGATGCCGACAGTGACTCGCTAGGGCTCGTAGGGGTGGCTCCATACATGTGAGAAAAGCAGTGTTTATAGATTGAACTGTACGTTAACATTGAACTGTATATAAGTAAGGTTAAAAGGGAATCATTTGGGGGTCAGGAATGGGTTCATCCCATTTACGTTAGATAAAATTGGATTACATTAGGTAAAGGAACTACATTAGATAAAAAATGAATAGATGAAAATTACATAAGATAAAAGATGAATTCCAGTACATAAAAGATGGTTCAGTTTTCGATCATATAGCTTCTCTAACAGCCTCCGGAATGAATGAAGTTTGAGAACTGAGGTTCCACCATCATTCCTTTGTATGGCTGAGGCAGATTTCTTCGTACGCCTGTTGTGGAGCTTTACCACAGTCTGTATATTCGTCCATTGAGAGACGTTGGGATGGTTCTTATGAACAGTGCCACGATAACCCATCGTGTAGAAGCTGCTGTGTGCATGATGTCTTCCTCTCTGGGACGTGCCTGCAAGTGACAGGATGTGGAGGAGAGTCAATCCTCTCATATTCACAATCTGCAGATGGTGTTCCGTCCTGTAGGGGTCGCTCCCCTTTCTTAGTGTGTCTTTGATGCACAGAGTTCAGTTTGGATGAAGCCCAGTTTATCCTTTTCCCTTTGGTGCTGGTGCTCGTGGTGTTCGATATGTCGGTCCATAAAGACTTGCTCCTGCGTGTCTCAGGCTAATGAACTAGCTCTTGTGTTTGGGTCACAGGTCCAGTTTGAGTCGGTGTTTGTGGGTCGGGGGAGGGTCCAGCCTCACTCTGGCCTGTGGAGACCTCATTGTCCCAGCACCGTTGGTTGAGAAGCCTGTCCTGCCCACTGTTGATCCATCCACGTTGGTTTCCGTGGTGATGAGCTGTTGCTGTGGAAAGCGCCTCAAAGAAGGACTCCCCTGGAGCATGCGAACACACACTGAGCAGTGGTACCCCTCTCCCAGGCTGTCTGCTTGGCGTATTTTTCATAGAATGCCTTTGCTTTTTCTGAAAACGTTTATTCTCCTTGTTTAGCTTGTCCCATGGGTATCCCCATGCAGGGCTGTGCCGTTAGCCTGTGGTGACAAGGGCGCCGGCTGAGCGCTCGGACTTGCAGAGAGTGTCGGAGTCTCTGTTGGGGAGGGTAAAGGGGAGGTGTGGGGTTCCTGTCCTGCTAGGTGTGTTGTAATGGGCCTGCTTCAGAGGACCTGGCAGGCCTGCCAATACTGCTGAGCTGAGTCGTGGTCACGGGAGACGGACTGGGAAGAGCTGCGATTCACTAGGATGTGGCTGCGCACCAGGACGTGCCGCCAGTGTACATGCGCTGATCAGTTACCATACAGGACTGGGAGGTGTCCGTGCTGTCGCTGCCCCATAATACCAGAGGGGGACAGGCTCGGGGGGAAGTAATTTATCAAAGAACATAACTACCAGTGCAGAGCTCTAAATGACCAGTTACTCTAAATTTGTGCTGTTCCCTCCATGCTATTGCCTCTCATATCTCTAATAATGCTTGTTGACTCCAAGCCAAAATAATTCCTTTAAATTGTTGAATTGAGATTCATTCAATTCAATTGTCCATTGCTCAAAGGGCTTCATTTTATTTATCTTTATAATGAGCTAATTTGGAGTCCGCTGTCTCCCTGTTTTACAGAGATTGGGAAAGTGCACAGGACCCACTCGAGGTGGGTAACAGGCAGCTCTGGTCAAGAAGTCAGCACTGTTTGGTCAGAGGGTAACTGACTGCTCTCCTCAAAATAAGAGCAGGAAACAATCCCTGCGTTCCTTTTTGTAATAGGACCGGGATTCCAGATGTAGGAAAGCATGGTTACTGCATGTCAGGGCAAGAATTCTGATTTAAAACGCAATGAGAGTTTCCCTTGTTTTAAATGTTACTCTTTCAGATACTTGACTATTGGGTTCTTTTTAAACTATGGATGTGGCACTTCAGCCTGTGGGGAGTGTCTCGAGGAGAGAGGCCTGCGTCGTCTGTGTGAGACATGCCTTCTGAACTGGGCGGAGGGAGACCTTTGCAGTGACAGGGCTTTGCGACTGGAGAGTGGGAAATGCTGCCCACAGCCCGTGCCTGAAGCCCTGGGTATCTGATACGTGTTCTGAAGCATTACCTTTCATCTTTCATTCCTTTGTCTCTCGTTCTTCCTTGTCTTTTCAGCCATAGAACTGATGTATGGAGGCATCTACTGCTTCCTGTGCCAGGACTACATCTATGACAAGGACATGGAGACCATCGCCAAGGAGGAGCAGCGGAAAGCTTGGAAACTGCAAGGTGGGTCTCGCCTCGGCTTCCCTGCCCTGCATTCCTCACGCCCATCAGGGTGAAGCTCACCAAGAGGAAGACCAGTTATCTAGGGAGGGGCCGTGCAGGGAGGCAGGGCAGGTAGGGTAGCAGCTGGAGTTTTGCTATTTGCTGGAAAGACAACACCCTGTCCCCTTCACCCACAGACAGTGGTGCCTCCCTCCTGCGGGCAGCTCCCTCCTGCAGGCCCCGCGGAGGCAACCTGGGCTGCAGGCTGCCCTCAGGTGCAGAGGCCCATCAGTCTCACAGCCTCCCAGAGCTGTCCTTGCCCTGGGCCCCCAGGGCCTGTGGCTGTTGGGGGGCTCTGCTGGGCTTGAGAGAAAATGTGCACCCACACTTAGTTCTCCCGTCTGCGGCACAGTCACAGGGACAGCACTGGGTCCCCATGAGCAGTCTGCCTCCCTCTCCAAGATTCCAGAGAGCGGGCTCGCCTCAGTGATATTAAACGTGTATGTGCCTGGGCTGCCCCTGGAGGAGAGGATAGGCCCTTCCTGGGCCCCAAGGACGGAGCCGTTGGGAACGCCTCTCATCCTACTCAGCATTTTGAACACTCCAGAACTGGATGGTTCCTACTCCTGAACGTAAAAACCACCAGCTGTGCCCTGCAGAAGTCTTTCAGGGATTGACATGTTAAGGCATCAAACTGCAGAGGGATGCGCGGGAAAACTCTCTTAAACTCGTCTTCAATAAAAGAGCACATAGACTGCGGGGAGTGCAAAGGGGTGATGAGAGTAAGAGAGTTCCTAGCTGGCCTGCAGGTCTTCCCTGGGTGATGCACGCGGAGTGGATGGGAAGTTGAGACTAAACGGGCTCATTGTAGCGAAGGATTTGGGGAGGAGAGGATGTTTTATTTCCATGAGAACTTGGGCCAGCCAGGGCAGGGCCTTCTCTTCAGGTAAGTAAACTTCTGGGCCCAGTGGCATCCTTTCAGGCATGCTGCTCCTTCACCTCACCAACGCAGGAAGCACAGGACAGAACGCTCTAGATACAGTTCAGACATAGGAGTCCTGCAAGTATTTTCCTCCAGCTTGCTCCAGGCAAAATAGATGTGTATATTTTTATCTTATTTAATGTAACATTCTGTAAAATGTTAACTTATTTATGAAATGGTTAAGAATTTGGAAAATTAATACTTATTTTATGTCAGTCTGTGTTCTAATAAAACAAAAATAGACAGCTCTGGCCAAAAAATGTAGGTACCTGGCTTCTTTCAGAAGGGCAGACTGCTTTCTGATTAAATTATTATAGAATCTCTTTTAAAACTTAACTGTTTGGGTTATGTTTAATCTCTGTTAGCAGAATTAAGATTGCCAGATGGAAACTGTAATAGTCCGCCACTTCCACAGCACCCTCTGTGCAGGGCCTCGCGGCTGCTGCCATTGTGGGCTTCTGTCTGCGTGGCTTCCACCCACATACACGTCTTCGTCGGGCATAGAGGCAGGGACACACACAAGCGAGTGCACCCATTTTCTGAATTGTTCAGGCATTTCTTTTTGGTCACCCTGATTCCCCCCTTTAGTAGTTTTCATTTCCAATGTGTGCTGGTGCTGTTAGGACAGCGATGGAGCGTGCCCCCATGTGGCTGGTGAGCTTGTCTCAGCCGGCAGCCCGCCAGTGTTTACAGAGAGAGCGTAGCCACATCGGCTCACAGAACTGGCCTGCGTGCTCTGCTTTACAAACAGCCCCTTGTTTTTGAGAAAGGAAGCACAGACACGGGTGTGATCAGAATTCCTTGTGTCTAACAGATCTTCTCTGGAGAACGACTGTAACTGCAACTTCCTACTCTTTCCCCTCGGAAGTGGAGTAGCATTGCCCGGGGTCTGAGGGGCTGTTTCTCTGTGCAGAGCACTGACCACAGGGCCACGGCCTGCAGGTGCAGAGCAAACCAATCCTCCGCAGGCCTCGCTGCAGGGCCCTCACTCCGCCAGGTGCTGTCCTGCCGGTCACTGTGCAGGCGTTTGGGGGCACGGAGCAAGTGCCTGTGTGGACATGGGGTGTGGTAGGTGAGATGTGACATTTACTAGCATTTACAGCTTTGTCTTCGGTTTAAATCTTTAAAGGGTACATCTCAACAAGATATATTTTTCAAAATATATTTTTAAAAATCCATGTTCTATCAGTTTTGCTCATTGGCCGGAGAATCCCTCATCTAAACTGCTGTGCACTCCCCGGGCGCTGAGGCTGTGGGCTCTGCTCAGGGGTGAGGCTTGGGAAGGCCCTGGCATTGGAGCTGGACTGCTTTCATGGGGGCGTTGCTTTCCTTGCAGGAAGCAGCTCATTCACAGCACAGCCTCTGAGAAACTCCTTCGTGTGGTTCAGCCTGTCGCAGCCAAACAGGCTTTATCCTTAGAGTATGGCTGTCCCTCTTTGAAATATCTTTGAAGCCTGACAATAGTACATCACCGCCATGTGCCCCTAAGCACACTCGTTTCAGATTCAACTCAGAGCGCCGGGCCTGTCTCCTCTGTAGGTGTGGGAGAGAAGTTTTCAACATGGGAACCCAGCAAGCGGGAGCTCGAGCTGCTGAAACACAACCCCAAACGGCGGAAGATCACCTCCAACTGCACCATAGGTGGGTGGCAGTGCTGGCGCTGGTCTGTGGTTACTCCCAGTTAGGCTTCTTGCTGGGGGTTAACATTATTGTAAAAAATGGTTTCATAGCACAGTGCCCTATGCCCTGCCCTGAATAACTCATTCTCCCATTCTCTCACCAGCCACCTCTTGAGCTCCTGGAGCAGGCTTGGGGTGCAGGGATGGGGAGAACAGTTGCTACCCCTGAAAGTCTGCGTGTGCAAAGGCTCAGGTGTACTCTCACCAGGTTGAGGCTGTGTACAGTGATATGTGTGAATTTTCCTCTGGGTTTCCTAACAGTTGAAGAAATAGAAGCTTTTTTAAAAGCTATTTTTGTTGTTAGAGAGGCTCCATTCTGACTTGTCTTGTTGCCTGAACATCTTTAGGCCCTAGCCGATTTGGCTCAGTGTATGGAGCGTCAGCCTACAGACTGAAGGGTCCCAAGTTCGATTCTGGTCAAGGGCACATGTCTGGGTTGCGGGCGCGATCCCCAGTAGGGGGCGTGTATGAGGCAGCCTATCAATGATGCTCTCTCATCATTGATGTTTCTCTTTCCCTCTCCCTTCCTCTCTGAAATCAATAAATAAAAAGACTATCTTAGGGTAACTTTGTCAAAAACAATGGCTAAAGTGGGGGCTAAGGGTTGGGGAGTGATGGTGACGAACATTCCTCAATATAGTTTACATAAAAATGGCATAAAAATATTAAATTTCTTCCTGAATGGATGAGTAAAGGGAAGCGGACACGTGAATGTGAAGGAGTTTGTGGTACCCTGGAGTCAGTCCTGCAGGCCAGTGCCCTGTCACCGCCTCCTGTCTGCCCCCCAGGGCTGCGAGGGCTGATCAACCTGGGCAACACGTGCTTCATGAACTGCATCGTGCAGGCGCTCACGCACACGCCGCTGCTGCGCGACTTCTTCCTCTCAGACCGGCACCGCTGCGAGATGCAGAGCCCCAGCTCCTGCCTGGTGTGCGAGATGTCCTCCCTCTTCCAGGAGGTGAGCTGCACGTGCACAGAGCGCTCCTGAAACTACGTGGTTTTTTCTTTCCCTTAAGAAAAACGGTTGCCTGCAATAGGATAAAGGAAGGCGTGTTCATTGTGGAAGGCTTACGTCTTTCCAAAAAGAACCATTAGATAGGAGACGATTGACCATTGGCACGAAGGTGACTTAGGGAATGAGAGGAGGCTGATACTGGTCTGCGAGTACTGACCCCTTTCTGTCGTCTGCCACCTGGCGTGCAGTCAGGTGTGTGGACATGTGTGCATCACTTCCTTGCCCTGTCTCAGGAGCATGGATCTCTCCTGTTGCTGGGCATTCTGAGTGCAGCATCCTGTCTGTCCTCTCACCAGTCTCTGCTCCCGGGTTGGATCATGGGCGACACTCATTCTGTGCTGTCCATGTCTGTCCCTGACCAGCACTGGTGGTGTGACCGCCCTAGCACCTTGGGTGAACCATTGGCACTCAGGTTGTCAACCTCAGCAAAGCCTCTCAGAGCTCAAGCAGCTCAGCCACCCAACTACAGAATGGACTGCTGCCCAACCCACAGGCTGCTGGGATGGTCTACATGGGCTCCAGGTGTCTCACACAGGAGCCTGCAGACGGCCTGGTCTGCTTGTTGATCGCCTTTGATGGCAGTGTTGCCGTGCCCGCTCTCCCACATCCTGGGCACGGCTGCTTTTACGCTGCATCAGAGGAGGTGGGACTAGTGGACAATTGCTGCCGAGACCACCTGGCCTGCAAAGCTGGAGCCATTGACCATCTGGCCTGTTTCCCTCACACCCACAGCGAGCCAGTGGCTGCTGGGACCACAGCAGTGAGCACACTGAATGAATTCGTTGGGCCCACACAGGAGGAAGACGGGTTTAATTGAGAAACGACTGGGTGGGTGTGTCACCTTTAGGTGTGGGTTTCAGCATTTTCCCTGGGCACTTTGGTTGATTAATTCAAATAGGATCGGGTTTATTAAGGTACATTTTTGAAGCAGCAGAATTCACCTGTTAGTATATAGGTCTGTTTCTCTTGACAGACATGTCGTAACTCAACACCTAGGCTTATCGAAAACGATACTCAGGCTCAGGAAGTCCAGGAAGTGGACATTCCAGGCAGCTGTTAAGTGTTTTCGTGTGTGTGTGTGTGTGTGTGTGTGTGTGTATCCATGCATAGTGCAGCACTTGTTCCTGACGAGTGGTTTGTTTCCTTCTCTGTGCAGTTTTACTCGGGGCACCGCTCCCCCCACATCCCATACAAGCTGCTGCACCTGGTGTGGACGCACGCCCGGCACCTGGCAGGGTACGAGCAGCAGGACGCACACGAGTTCCTCATAGCTGCCCTGGATGTGCTGCATCGGCACTGCAAAGGTGGGGTCCACGGGGGGTGGGGGGAGGCACTGCAAAGGGGGGGGCCTGCACCTTACATGAGGTTGGCAGAGGCCCTGCAATGGTGGGGTCCCCGGGCCGGGGGCGGGGGCGGGCGGTGGGCGGAGGCACTGCAAAGGTGGGGCCTGCGTCTACTCATGGGGTGGGGGCAGTGGAGGGCACGTGTGCGCTTCTGCACAACGGGGCGCAGCCCACATGTTCAAATTGGATTTGTTTCCTCCAATAAGAAAAACTGCAATTACCCTAAAGAGGTTCTTTATAGTTTGTTTTCTCAAGAGGAGCAATAGTTTTCAGTGTTGTCTTCCGACCCTCCTGGGGGTAGAGCAGCATAACCGGTGGTCCTTGGCAGCCTGTGCCGGTCAACAGTGAGCTCCTGTCCCTTTCTCCCCCCTCCTCTCTCCCTGTCCCTCTGTCCCTGCCCCTCTCTCCCCACCCCTCTCTCCCTGTCCCTCTGCCTTGAGTCCTTGGCTGCCGGGTCCGCGCCACCCCCCCCCCCACCCCCACCCCATCTGCAACTGCTGCGGCTCCTCAGCCAGCAGCTTTGCATGGGCTCTCAGCACAGCTTAGCCATAGAGTCCTCTCCCCTGTGGGGCTTCCAGGAAGACCAGCGTTGCTCTAAAGCCACAGAGAGCTGTGCACACGGCCCTGCACCTGCACCTGCATCTGCCAGGACTCCCCTGGCCCTGAGTCAGGCTCATTTCCCTTCAGGGGCTTTCCTTCTAAGTCAGCGGTTCTCAACTTGTGGGTCTCGACCCTTTTGGGGGTCGAACGATCCTTTCACAGGGGTCGCCTAAGACCATCGGGAAACACATATATAATTACATATTGTTTTTGTGATTAATCACTATGCTTTAATTATGTTCAATTTGTAACAATGAAATTGGGGGTCACCACAACATGAGGAACTGTATTAAAGGGTCGCGGCATTAGGAAGGTTGAGAACCACTGTTAGGTCTTGCTTAGGGGCTCACTGGAACATGTAGGGTTCTCAGATACGTGTGGGTCTAGGGGAGGGGCAGCCGGCAGCAGCTCCTAGGGCTGGAGGCAGGTGATGAGGCCTGAGTAACACACCAAGGGGGGTTCCTCCCCCTGCCTTGCTCCCTGTGTGGGGTTCCCTGTGTGGGTTGCTCAGTGCAGCCCCAGTTGAAGTGGATTGACAAGTCCCATCCGAGGAGCTGGGGGCCCCTGAAGCACACAGTTGACCTCCTGTGTGGTGGACCTGGGTGAGGGCAGCGGAGTTTGGTTCCTAAGGGTTCCTGGTGGTGCTGCTGGCTCAGCTGACTCTCAGCTGTGACCGAGTGTGCTGAGGGCACAAGCTGCCCGTGACCTGTGGCCTCTGGGCTAGGGTAGCTCGTTGCAGGGGACCTCTTACTGGCCAGCTTTCTCTCGCTAGTACATGATGTCCTTTAAGAACAAGCCTGCTTTTCTAGGTCAGTTGGTGGAACAGCCTTCATGCTCCCCTCAGGCTCTGGGTCTGGGCTGTTCAGACGCCCTGTGGATCCGAGGCTCCAGCTCAGACAGCGCATTGGGGTCAGCTGTCCTGGCTCTGGGCTGGAGCTCTTTTCACTGAAGATTTTTTCTCTTAAAAGCATATGTATTATCCTTTTAACATTTGCCCAGGAACCAAGTAGAAGTTGCTTAGGAGCGTAGGTGAGGTTTGGTTTCCCAGCATAATGCACAGCTGCTGTGCAGGCAGACCAGCCCGTGAAGGAGCCCCACTCAGGGGCTGCGACAGCGCTGAGGAGAGTGCTGGAGCATGCACAGCTGTTGAGTGTTCATGTGACGAAAAAGGCCTCCTTCTGACAGGATTCCTCTGAAAGGCCTGGGGAGCTGCGTGAGGCTCACTCAGAAGCCGGGCCCCCTGAGTTCCGAGCTCATGGAGGCTGCTGGCTCACAGCCGTGGGGCGGCCGGGGCCTGAGGCACCCCCACCTGCTTTACGTTGCTCTTTTACGGGGTTGGGACCTCAAGTATGTTTCAGCTCCTTTTTCTTTGCATCTATGTATTTTCTGCTTCCTAATGTTCTGTTCCATGCATTTGAGATCCTTGTGGATGGCATTTCCTCTCGATCTCTCCAGGCAGCTGTGTCAGAAGGCCGTGGCGCCCTTTACATTCCTCGTGACAATTCACCTTTTCTGTGTGATATCTCCAGGGGGACACATGTGCTAGTCCTGTTGTCCAGTGGAATGAAAGTCATATAGAAGATGTAGGATATCTAACCTAATAAAAGAGAAACATGCAAATTAACCATACCTCCGCTACACCCACAAGCCACGCCTATCAGCCATGCCCACCAGCCAGTCAGGAGCGGGTATGCAAATTAACCCAACTAAGATGGCGGCAGCCATGGAGCTGGATTGAGCAGGAGGCTTGGGTTGCCCCGGTGATGGAGGAAGCCAAGCTTCCCTCCTGCCCTGCCAGCCCTGAGCTCCACTGTTTCAATTATAGAAGACAAATAAATCCCAGATACCTGCTTCCAGCCCGCAGCTGTGCCCAGCCTGAAAACGGCCCTCAGCCCCTCACCCAGACTGGCCAGGCACCCCAGTGGGGACCCCCCACCCTAAAGGGGTTGTGGCCAGCCTGAAAACAGCCATCAGCCCCTCACCCAGGCTGGCCAGGCACCCCAGCAGGGACCCCCACTCTGAAGGGGGTATGACCAGCCTGCAAACAGCCATCAGCCCCTCACTCAGGCTGGCCAGGCACCCCAGTGGGGACCCCCACCCTGAAGGGGGTGTGACCAGCTGCAAACAGCCATAAGCCCCTCACCCAGACTGGCCAGGCACCCCAGCGGGACCCCCACCCTGATCTGGGACACCCTTCAGGGCAAAGCAGCCGGTCCCCACTCACGTACTTGGACTCTGTCGTATATAATAAAATGGTGATGTGCTAACTGACCCTAACAGCAGAACGATCAGGAGTGACTGGTCACTATGACACACTGACCACCAGGGGGCAGATGCTCGATAGAGGATGCTGCCCCCTGGGTGGTCAGTGCACTCCCACAGGTGGAGCTCTGCTCGGATACATGCCAGGTTAATGGTTGCCAGCACAGCAGTGATGGCAGGAGCCTCTCCCACCTCCTCAGCAGCGCTAGGTATGTCCGACTCCAGCTTAGGGCTGGTCCCCGATGGAAAGTGGACATGCCCTGAGGCCTGCCGGCCTGCCAGAGGGATTTCTGACTGCCAGCTTAGGCCCATTCCCCTGGGAGCAGGCCTAAGCCAGCAGGTGGACATCCCCCGAGGGGTCCCAGATTGCAAGAGGGCACAGTCAGGCTGAGGGACCCCTCCAAGTGCACAAATTTTTGTGCACTGGGCCTCTAGTTTGTTAATATGTACTATAGTTAACCATATAAGTTTTACATTTGTATATCTACACAAATATGTACAGGGTGGGGCAAAAGTAGGTTTACAGTTTGTTTGGAAAATAATACAATAATTAATAAATCATACAAGAATAAACTGTGTAGCCCAGCTGGTTTAGCTCAATGGATTGAGCATTTGACCAAGAGGTCTCTGGTTCTCCCTGGCCAGTTTGGCTCAGTGGATAGAATGTCGGCCTCTGGACTAAAGCGTCCTGGGTTCGATTCTGGTCAAGGGAATGTATGTTGGTTGCAGGCTCCTCCCCAGCCTGGGCCCTGGTTAGGGCTCGTGCAGGGAGGCAACCAATCGATGTCTTTCTCTCTGTCTTTCCCTCTCTCTTCCACTTCCCCTTAAAGATCAATGGGAAAATATCCTCCGGTGAGGATTAGCAAAAAAGGGGTGGGAGCGGGTTCGCCGGTTCTATTCTGGTCAGGGCACATGCCTGGATTTCAGGCTTGATGCACAGGGGGGCAATAAAGGAGGCAGTTGATCGATGTTTCTCTCTCATTATTGTTTCTATCTTTCTAAAAAAAAATCAATAAAAATAAACTTAAAAACATTTGCAAAGAGAATAACCTGTTGCATACACACAGCTGTAATTTGCCCCACCCTATATACACTTGACCCTTGAACATGGGGGTGCCAACTGCCTGTGCAGTTGGAATTCTGAGTATAACCTAAGTCGGCCCTCATCGTTCTCGGATGTCCACCCTCAGCTGACCCTTGAGCAGCGTGGGTTTGAACTGTGCATGTGAGTGGGCCTGGGCAGTTCAAGCCCATGCTGTTCCAGGCTCCCTGCAAAGACCCTGGCATTGCCCTGGAGAGGGTGGGAATTGTGCTTGTACATCTGGCTGGAGCAGAGCTGTCCTGCAGCTCCAGGCGTGGGGACCCCTGAGGAACACTGAGCGGGAGTCCTGCAGGGACGGTCCCGGAAGCAAGGCCACTTCCCAGGAGTATTCCCCACAGTGTGTCAGGCCGCTCGCTAGGAAGTGCACACTTAGTCCTCTGTAAGTGGGAAAGGAGCCAGTCACTTTCCCCCGATACTGGGCATTTGATACACTTTGGTACTAAGGTGGAAGCTAAGCATATCAGCTTAGCTTCCAGCTTCCTGGCCACGCCCGTCTTTTGAATGTTAAGTATCTTCACCTGCCCTTCACCTCAGGCTTCATAATGCCTCTGTGCTCGAATGGCCTTGTCCCTTGGTCTGTGGCTTTTGGAAACTTGCTGGCTTTGGGGGCCTTGGGGGGCACAGATGTGGATCACAGAGCTGCAATCTTTCCCCAGGTGATGATAATGGGAAGAAGGCCAGCAACCCCAACCACTGCAACTGCATCATAGACCAGATCTTCACTGGGGGACTGCAGTCGGAC